GATCAAAAACATTCTGGGCCACATTTTGTGATGGTTTGCCAAAAATGAAAGCTGCAAAGCTGCAAAAGACATTATGGGGTACACAACCTAAAAAACATTTGGAATAAATTGAAAGGTTAAATGAGTCCGAAAAGGTTAATAAATCGTGTAAAATTTGTGACGAAAGAACACAATCCACAGAGCTCTGTATTAATTGTAAGCCTTGTTGACATGGATAGAAGTCCCACAGGTTTACACCCAGGGGAGGTACATTATGAGAACATCGGTATAAAACCTTATAGCTGGTTATGACTCACAGTCCTACGCTTTCTAAACAGTATAACAATATTTTAACAATTGGTGAACTATTTTTGAAACATATTTAACCATCTATTAACAGTGTTTTATAAATTGCTTAGAAATGGTACTCTAATATAAAGTAGATCCCAACAATCTAGAAGCGATCCTCCTCTTTGGCAGGAAATGATGCTTTAACAAGGGAAAGTCAAATATTGTTAAATTGCTTTATCCATCAAACTGATGCAACCCAGAGACTGTCACTAAGAGCCACAGGACTGTATTACAAAATGAAACACACTATCAGTCCATGCAAAACAGTTGGCTCCTGAAGTAATCCTACCAAGGACAGTTTCCACTGACTATCTGGCTACTATATACAATGGGAGACACTTCCAATACTATTAAATAAACACATATAAAACAGAAAAAAGAAAGAAAGCATGGGCATAGATTACAGAGTATTTCTGAACATCTGGCGCAGTTGCTTTGACTGATTTTGCCCTCTTTGAAACTCGTGTGTACAAGATTAAAAAATAAAACCCCCCCTAGGCTTACTTCTTTAGACTTTTTAAAAAATACAGAACTGGTTATTCTAGTCACACTCTTTACAAGCCAGTGATAACAAAATAATTTTTTTAAAAGCAGAAAATTGTGGTGGACTACAAATGCCTGTCTTTTCCCCAACAAATATCCCCCCCCCAGCACATACAATAATTAGCAGACAAATACACTGTTTGCAACTGCAATTTGTGTTGAATTAAAAGGCAATTACAGAAAAAAACAAAACCCTGTCTTAAGAAAGAATGCCATCCACAATGAGAGTTTTATTGGTGCTTGTGTGTGTGTGACTGCATGCAGGTCTCTATTTTTGCTACTGCGTACTAAAGGCTGAAGCCTGCAAAGACACACTCATGCAAGAAAAGGGTACACAGTGAGTAGAACCCCTGGCTCTACAGGCACTACTTAAAGCTTGTCGTGGACCATGCAGATGGTACGTCTTTGCAGGGTTGAGCCCAGAAACCGGAAAGTGTGCTCAGATCTTTTGTAGTCGGAGTGTGCCAAGTTTCACAAATCCTCTTGCTTGCTCTCACCCACACACGCACTCACAAAAGAATGAAAACCAAATTCTTGTGACAAGGTGGCTTCTTTTTTTTTTTTTTTTTGCCTAAAACCTTCAGCTATAAAAGAAAGCAAATGTGTACTTTTGGTTGATTAAAAGATCCTGCTGCATGAAGGAAATAATAATAATAATAATAAATCACAAAATCCGTTTTTTCCCTAATCACCTTTTTAAGTCATATCCTCATGAATAAATATTATCCATTAAAAACCATTGAAAAGGTGCTGAGATACACAGTGTTATAATTCTGCTTCTTTATTGACTTTCTCGTAGCTATGACAGGACGTCTCTTCCACTTTCTGGAAACTCTTCTATGCCCCACATCCGGGAACATTTCTTCTTCTTGTTGACAGACAAAAGAGAGCTCCTTCCAACCAGCCCCTTCTAGCTTCCCAGTTCTTCTGAGCTCACTCTGCAGCATGAACGTGAGTTTGAAGGAAGCTGCCTTGCGAGGCTCCCGCAGTTAATTCTTAGATGCCGGTCAGGTTGGTCTAGCTGTCCACCCAGCCACTCATCTAGGCACAATTTGCAGCAAAGGAGGAACACGGAGGTGGGGAAAGGGAGAGAAACGCCGGCCTTCCAAGCAGCCTCCTTTGACTGACACAGCCTTACAAAGCCGACACCTTGACAATGTTGCTGCTCATAGTGGTAATGTTCGTTGAGTGGCCGGGGCTGGATGGGGCATGCCTGCTTTCGCCTTCTGGGGTCAGTGCTGGAGGCGTCGGGATGCTGATGATTGCTGTGGTTATTTGGGAGGCTTTGCAGTTCGGTCTCAGCCCATCGTCTGATTTCATATTTAGGCTGGATCGACTAAAAGACAAAAGAACAGCCGGGTGGGGTGGGGTGGGGTGGGGTGGGGAGGATTAAAAGGAGCAGAAGTTGCAAGCTGTTTGTCGCAAGTGTCGGATATCCTCACACAAGATTGTCAGAGGTTGTAAAGACTAGGCTAAAACTGGGTGGTGGGCCGCAAAGGACTCTATGCAGCTAGGAACCTCTTCAAGCCCAGTTGGGGACATGGGAGATTTATTGATAAATTGGCAGTACTGTAAAGGCATGGATGCATTCAGCAAGACAGGTCTAAATTTTAAAAGCCAGCATTTGGGGTCTTCCTTTCTGTTCTTTGGTTTTAGCCTGGAGGCTGTGGTGCAGCCTGCTCCATCAATGCATCTTGGGACAAGCTGCACCCAATGAGTTTCTGCTCAAAACCCTAGCCACCCAAAATGCCTGGACAGTAAAAATGGGAGACTGCGACCTCCTCCAACCTGTAGTTGAGGACTAGCCAAGAAAAACACATATATTGCCCATAGCTGATCTAAAAGCAACCTAAATAGGGAACAACACAGATTCATTCTTCACACTGATTAACGTCAACATGGAATCCTATCTTGTTGGGTCTAGCTGTTGAATATTCTGCCCAATTAATGGTTAATCCTGCTTTTGTTTCTGCAGCATGTCTACCCTTACAGGTCATCCTAGATTACTTGGCTGCCATTCTGTCTCTTTACTCCTTGCCTGGCTCAAATATCACTCTGTAGAAGTCCTAAGGGCTTGGCAGCTAGAAACATTCCTATTAAGAGCTGCACTGGTTGCATCCTATGATTAATTATGGAGTGGAAATGATAGGGTTGCTCTCTAGCCAACTGCCTATCTGGATTTCAATACAAAGACAAAAAACTCTTTCAGTATGAAACCCTGGCTGTAATCTTAGAGTGACTTACAAAGAGGATCTTCTGAAACCTCAGTCATTCTAGGTATATCAGTAGGATCCTTACAATGGTTCAGTGCTCTTGACGGTTGCCAGTTGTACCCACACCCAAAATAAGGCACACATCATTAGGTTGAACTGAGGCTACAATTTTATTTTATGGAGGCAACCTTCCCAAAATACGGTACTTCAGAGCTTGCAAACCTTTGGGTGCAGTCAACAAGCTTTTGCCTCCCTCCATTTATGGGGGAGCATGACCCCAGCTCCTTGTCTGCATCTGACTCTTTCTGGTCAGACTTCTAGCTGTGTTGAAGAGGGATATCTACTGCTGCTCCCCTAAGCCCCAAAGTTCTGGCTGCATAATGCAAACAAGCTGCAGAAAAGAAAAGGTGTGACGCCCAGTGGACCCCCCCCCCCGCCTCACCTAGCTACACCTCTGGATTAGGCAGATTCATGGAGGAGAGGGCTGTCAAAGGCTACTGTGCTCTGCCTGCAAAGTTGGAGGCAGCAATGCTTCTGGTTTCTGGAAATCACTCGAGGGGAGAGTGCTCCTGCAGTGGCATAGAAAGGGGGCGTGCAGTGGGTGCAGAAGTTATTTTTTCTAAAATATTTTTGCCATTTTGTCACACACACACCCCAGTGATGACACCGGGGGGTGGCCTGCACCCACCGCACTCCCCCTTCCTACTCCCCCCTTCCCCCATCTCAGTGCCTCTAGGTCAAGGGTCAGCAAACTTACCACGCCTCGGGCCGGTGTCTCCAGCGGCGATTGTGCGGTGGGCCGGAGGGTGGGGGGCATGTGCCCATACGTGTGCGCACACGCTATTTCCGGTGCACTTCTGGGTCGGAGGAGCACTGGAAATAGCTTTTGCGCATGTGCATGGGCCACCTCCAACCCAGATGTGCACCGGAAATAATGCTTGCGCATGCGCAAATAATGCTTGCACATGTGCACAAGCTATTTCCGGTGCTCCTCTGACCCAGAAGTGGGCAGCGCAGCGCCGGTAAGAGCGGGGGGCGGCAGAGGGCAGTGGGGATCGCTGCGGGCTGGATAAACGAGTCCTGTGGGCCTTATCCGACCCGCGGGCCTTAGTTTGGGGACCCTTGCTCTAGGTACTCTCCAGCGATTGCTCTCTCACTTCTTTCCCCACTATGATCTGCCTGTTGTGGCCAGGATCCTATTACCTAACTTCCCATCAGCAGTGAATGCTAACTACCATTCTCCTGATGGAGTAGATAAAAGATAAAGAATAATCTGGAGCCAACCTGGGATAAATTCCTACTCTGCACATTTGCATTCAGCTAACGTTGCGCTGTGTTGAATGTGCAAGGGCAGCTGCCGAGACCAAAGGAACCTGCTCTTGGAGGGGATGGCTGGAGGCAGGACAGGTTCCTTCCAGAGTCTTCAGAAAATAAGGTTATTACTGTCTTTAAAATAATTTTATTATTGTGTTACTAGGTGTGGGCTTTTACAGTGTCAGCTGCCTTGCAGGCCAGTTTCCAGGCAGAAAGGTGAGATAGAAATATTGCAGACAACTCCCGATTTGCTCACCGTGTTTTGAACCTAACATTAGCAATTCAGAGTTCTCTCTGTTATAAGGTTTCAAAGTAATTTCAAATGTAAACTTGCATAATACAAGATAGTCTGTGCACCAAAAAGATGGCTGCTCCACATCATCACATGGGGCAGCCATCTCCTCCTCCTTTCCATACAGACCCTGGAAGCATTGCTATGTGATTGCACTTCCAGGGACATTTCTGGTCTTGTTCAGAAAAGGGTCTGGCAGGTCACCTCATATTGCAGCAAAAATTCTAAGAATGCTCCCTTGCACAGGTGTAGAAATTGCAATCATTCTCATATGAATGATGAAAACAGTTTGTTGGATTGAAGTCAGGGCTCATTATCCATTTGAAAATCATAAGCATAGTAAATCTGACTTGAGAACTGATTAATTTTGCATTCTGGTAGCATCACCTACTTGTATGTGGTTTTAGGAGGGGCCACAGAATTATTAATTTTATTCTACTTTCTAGCACCAGTGTTGAATGAACACCCTGATTCAATGGTCTTTGGACAGAAAACCATCAGAGGGATCTGTGTGCTGTGCAGATGTCAGTGTCGGGTTGGGGAGGGTCCAGATGGTAGAATAAGCTTAGAAAATAGTATGAGCCACATTAAAAAATTGCAAAGAACGCTTTGGTATTATCCTATATGTCTTTAGCCTGAAGCAGATACACAAATTAAATGTGGGGTGAAGAAATCGACCCACTCACAACACTGCTGCACTTTCTTTTGCCACTTCAATTTTTAAGAATTAAGAAATTTCAGTTATCACCCATTTCCTGCTGAACACAACCATATGATCTACAATCAAACCAATATATATTTCAGATTATTCCTATATGAACAGTTGCCTAACCCATATACCGTCCTCATTTCATTTAATAGTTGCATAACAGGAAAATATTAGCAGGTATCATTTTTCCCCAGAACAGCATCTCCCTGGCAATAAGATCTGCAGCTGCTCATTTCTGCTTATTATGCAGCAATGGCAAGTGTATGTTAAAATTATCTTTCTCTTCCAGCAGTGTAGGCTTGACTGCTTTCTCCTTAAACACTATACTAGATCTCATTTGCTTTTGACATAAGCTGCCCTGACTGTAGGCTGATTCACACAACAACATGCTGGCCTATGTAAGAGTTTATTTCACAGTGAATTGTTGGTATTTTTAATAGTCTTGCAATGCTTAATATGATTCCAGATGGCAACTCTCCACATCTGACTCACTTTCTGAACGTTTTTCAGGAGGCAGAAAATTGCGATGTTTCGCCATGTTGAATGGGCCTTACGAATGTCCATGGCGGAAATCACCAAAGAAAGGTAGATTCAGATGCCTGGGTGTCACATGCTAGCCACTTTTAAAAGCTTACTATATGGTGCCTGAAACTGCTTAGGGGGAATGGTTATTTGTAGATTCTTAATCCTAGCATTACCAGCCATCTGCTTCCTAGCAACTGCCATGATACAGTGATGCTGAGAGTAGAGACATCTACCTCCCCACAGGGAGGTGCCAAACACTCATTTTCTGTATCTGTAACCCCCCCCCCCACCAGTAGAATGTGAAAATGCACAATGCAAATCCTCATGGACGATATTAAAAATGTCTTCCAATTTGCACAAAATTTATTTCAGCTCTGCTACGCTGGACTTGTGGCATGGGAAAAGCATCCCGGACGCCAGCTCAACACACTGCCTGAATGAACTTGTACCTGCTTGGGCTCACAGACATGTCTGCTAAAACCCTCTTTCCTAGACCAAGGGGTTCCTGCCACCGTACCTTGTTGTAAGTGAGGGCTGCTCACTGCACTGGATGTGTATGGTGCTGAGCTCTTGCATGCTCCGCAGCCGGGTCGCTGGCACACTGGAATTAGGGAGGTGGGTTGTCTTCTTGCTGCGGCGGGAACAGCAGGAGGTGCTCAGGCCTTGGTGGCTCGAAAGGGAGGGGCTGCGGCTGGACGGGTAATTCTGCATCGAGCTCTCCAGACAGTTCTGCTCAAACATCTGCTCGTCAATGAACTCATGGTTCTGTCAGGGAGAAAGTCAGCAAATGTCAGGAACTTCCCAAGATGACTTTAAACAATCGCCGCCACCACCCAGAGGGCGACTAAACTTTCAAACAAGGACCTTTGCATATTCTGTTCGGTCGTGCTTTTGGGAACCATGACATAACTCTCTTTCGAGAAGCTAATAGGCTCTTCAGCTGGTGCTGGTGGCACTTCCTGTTGAAAAGGACAATTCCAGATGGAAACGTGCTCTAGCTGTATTCATCCATATCTACAGCCAACATATTTTTTTTCCCTGCTCAGGTTCCTTCTCAGGCATTGACAGGAAGTGCCGCCATTGCAGCTGAAGGTGGAAGACACTTATGCATTTTAATATAAAGCTTGTACCCAACTAAATTAGTCCATTAATCTCATTGGGTCTGCTCTGAATAGGACCAGAATTTGGATACAACCCAAAATAATTAAGAGTACTTCATGTGAAAAGTTCCATGATAAATCTTTCCATGATAAATTTGAAGAAAGGTCTCTTACCTTGTTGGACGAGAAATTAGCAAGTTTTTGTGAATATGCATCCAATGCATTGCTATTTCCACCCCCTCCCCCGCAATTAATCTTGTTTCTGGAGCTGTAGGGTGGAGTTGTGTCTAACTTTTTTCAAGTCTGAGAGAAGAGGAAGCACATATGTGTGGAAAATGTTTGAAGATTACTTGTGGGACTACACTCATTTCCCCAGACCAAAACTCTTGTCACATTTCATTCGCTTCATTTCATTCCTGCCATTTATGGGTTTGGGAGATAATCTTTGAGTGCCCCCCTCCTACAGAAGGACTTACTCCTCAGAGAATTGTTTATTAAAATGTGAATAAACATAGAATCAGCACTTTTTCGCCTTTATGCACATCTCTAAATTTGATGCAATTTGCCCCAAATAGGGGAGGAGGAATCTCAAGCGAGGATTGCAAAGCACTCAGGTTTAGGTTCTACTAAAAGAAGTTCGCAGATGAAATTAAATAAGGTAGAGAGGAATGCTGGCATATGGTGCAATTTTACCATTATAGAAAAGAGACTAGTAAGCGATAAAGGGCAAGACAAAGACTAGCAAGAAGGCCAAGAAGTGGAATACAAACTGGCAAATGTGCATCATATGCCAACCACCTCATTTGCATGATTATTATTTTTTTGAGCTTGAAGAAAAGGAAACCTGTGCAGGTTGTACCTCCAGCAGCAAATTGAAATGAAAAGCAATGCAACAAGCAGCGCTGTTGCAGACATACCCCAGCTTTAGGCTCTGTAGCCAATTAATTTTTACTTAGAGTAGAACCCTTGAAATTGGTGGACCTCAGTCATGTCCATTCATTTCAATAGGTATACTCTGAGCATTATGAACACTGGATACAACCATAGGCATTTAGTGCAGAATTGTCATGCTTCACCCACTCACTTTTTAGGGGAATCCACACAATACCGTTATCCAATTATTCTTATCATAAATTTCCCTGTGGTTCGTTCATCTTTCTCAGACTGAAGAAAGTCCATCTTTATTCAGAACACAACCTCCATGGGCATAGCTGCCTAATGTGCCATATTTTTCAACAGGCGTGGTTTTTACGTAGGCAGCGAGATATCAGGAAAGTGAACTTAATCACAGCTCAGCACACATAACATTTGTGATGGGCATATTTTATGATGCGGGCATAATTTTTGTTTCTTAATCCAATCATTTAAATATCACTAAAACACTTTTCTGTCTGTAGTATGTTTTTTCTTGTTAAAAAACAACAACCCCATAATGCTATAATGTTGTGGTTACAACCCTTAGTCATAGCAGAGGGTAAAAGCTTTTTTTGAAAAAATCAATTTCCTAAAATCTGCATTCTTTTTGTAAAGTATTATGGTCCTGCAGCATCGTTGTTGTTGGCATCCATCTATCTTGAGATACAATGGAGTGCACCTCTGGGGGGTGAAGTCAAACTGCTGGAGAATCACAGTGCCTGCTGTGGCTGCAGAGACCAGTAACTTGCCACTGCTTCCTTCCATGTTGTTCTTGCTGTGTTAGCAGAACCAAAGTCAACTCCTTGAGGCGCAAGCCTGGGCAGTGTGCATGGATATCCAGTGTTGCCCAGAGAACAAGACCCCCTCCTTGGCCCCTCAGATGTCCAAAGGAAAGCAGAGCAATACATTTGGCACCAGCTAGACTGCAGGAGTTGCTGGAAGGAGGTTACCATATGACAGGGACGTCCAACTCCTAATAGGCTGTGATCTACTCACAGTATAAAAAAACTGGCAGTGATCTACCCATTGTCATAAAAAGACTGGCAGTGATCTACCCATTGTCATAAAAAGACTGGCAGTGATCTACCCAAAGTTGTGGAGCTTTCTTTTAGGAAGCCAAAGTTGTGGAGCTTTTTTGAGTAAGCCAAAGTTGGGTTGCTTTTTTGTAAGGAGATCGCTGAGACGCCAGAGATCAACCAGGATCTACCAGGAACACCCCACAATCTACCAGTAGATCACGATCTACCTGTTGGTCATGCCTGTCATATGACATCCGACCATCTTAGGGACTCCACCATTATACAAAATTTTACATCATGGCGGCTATACTGCTACATCTCTCATGAAAAAAAAAAACCCATTGGAAAAACGTTTTACTGATAATTTTAATATGCATAATAAACCAATCAATAAGAGTAATAAAATAATACCCACCACAAAGTTATACCAAATGTGTGCTGAGCTTCAAATGGCCTTACCCACAGCAGCTATGCCATGTCCACTGGTGTAGAAGGAACATAGGATGTACACATTGAAGGAGCTCAACAATCCCAGTAGTGCAGAAAGCCATGTGCAATTCTGCTTGTAGTTTACCACAGAAGGACAAAGACGTGTTAGCTGTCTGGCAGGAGCATAAGTATCTTGATTTTATCATGACCTTCCTGATTTAACATTATGAAGCAGAGATAGACCTAAGCAAAGCGGTTAGGATGGCAAATGGAAGGGAGAACGACATGGTTAGGGGAAAGGTGATGCTGATATTTTATAATCAACCCAGCTGAATTGCACAGAGCTGTCATTCTGTGCTTTCAGGTAGGAAGACAACTTGTGAGAAAGCTTCCACCTAGGACTCCAATTCCAGGAAAGAGGTGCCCTTCATATGTCACAGGACCTTTTTACCTGCAACTTTATTCTGTGGGACTATCATAATCTTTAAAAGCCTGTTAGTATATGGGTAGGGTCATGCCGGCAGGTCTTCCCACGTACTCGACACCTGGCCAAGATCAAAGGAGATAATCCTGTGGGACAGTGATTGGCAGCACCCACGAGGCACCAGGCTTTTGAATGTTTTGACAGCAGTTTCCATGCTACTCCCATAATGCATAAAGAAGACTCTAGAAATGTAATGTTGTGTAACCTAGAATAGCAATTTTAGCCAGATCAGGGAAATATACATCGCACAAAACAGGGGAGAGATGAGTGGTGTCTTGTACTTAACACAGGAGGGAGAAAGGATAAGACCTCAGAACATATACAACTCCCACAACCACAAAGGGCAGATAACTTAACATTCATATTTAGCATATTCCTTTTTTGAGCTAGAAAGGGTGGGGAAAAAACAGATAAAGCTGTTTTCCATTTGACAGTCTTAATAACACTGGAAGCCACCAGAGAGCAAAAGAGCACCAGCATGCACAATCTGCTAAAAACGGGATCAGCAACAAGGAAGGAAACAACACTCAAGACATGGCACAGAGACTGCAGCAAATGGATTGAATTAAGAAGGAAATACCTTGAAGGTGGAAGTTCGTACAGATAACAGGGGATCATCCCCAAGATAGGACAATCCCTACAGGACAACATGTCAACAAAAGATAAAAACACCATTGATTGTCCATCCTAGCATTCCAAAATCAACTCCCAGCATTCCACGTGGCATCACACAAGTTTGAATGGGCAATATGACCATTTCCTTTAACACATTTCGCATTACACCAATAAGATGCTTGGGCTTCCTTTGAGAGCCAAGTGGCCCAGAATAAAATATTATAAGCCATTTATCTGAAGCACCCACAGATGGCAGCACCTGAGCAACTAAAAGCCATAGAGCTGAATTAGAGTAAAATAAGTAGTGCTGCTGAAGAAAATATGGGATGTATTGTGATACAGAATAAGGGGTATGGCTCTTGAATTTATTTCTTTGTTTTATCTTTCTTTATTTTACAGGTTTTGTTTTGAGCAATTGCCTGAGTTTGGAGAGAATTAACCACAGCTTAGAATGACACTGAATTTCAACAGGCGTAGGTGATACAATGAATCTGATTTCTGGTTTGAGGAAAAGGTGAATTACCCTTTCAAAACTGTTGGTAAAACTCTTTTTAAGTGTAGGTCATTCCTCATTTCACTGACAACTTTGTACCATTGTAGAATGACACTTTGGTGTTTCAACAATCCATAAATTATCACAACAATTTCTTTTGTTAGTGCAATGCTTTCTTGATTGATCAAGTAAGTATGATGGAAAGACATGCATTTTCAGCACAAATGCTGACTGAACTATTGTGATGGGTGCACTGAAAAACATACACCAAACATGCTGCATGTCAGTCCGTGGATGACAACTTCTGTGTTGAAAATGATGGATGGTTTAAGTCAGTAGCATACCCCTTCCTATAACCAAATAGCCATTTATCACTGATCAAAGTTGCAATGAGCCACATCTGATTCCAACCCCTGCCCCCCAATTTCTGACAAAGCATTATACATATTTACATTAGGATCTCAGCTTGGAGGATAGATGGGAAATAATTTATTATATTTCCTATCAGCTTAGTTCATATATATCTTGGTCATTAATTGCTTCTTTAACCAATCAGCTTTAAAGGCATTAGAAACTCTTTTTCCTATTTCCCCCCTCTCAGTTTATTATTATACTAACATTGACCCAATGGCAATCCCTTCAGTAGCTTCACATCATTGTTGAGGCCGGTGTTCTTTTCAGGCAACAAATATATGTAGAATCAATGCAGGGGACAGGAGTGGTTTGTGCCCTCTGAACAGAGCTTATGTACATACATGACCCAATCGATGCCCAAGTTGAAGAGGTTGGTTAATGCAGGAATTGGGCATTAAGTGTGGTGACGTCTGCAGTTTGGAATTTCCTCCTCTTAAATAATAGGCAGGCACCATCTCTTGACTTTGGGTGCCTAAGACTTTCCTCTTTTAACAAGCTTTTTAAATTGCAATACTGAGATTTCCCAGTCTGCGTCTGTATTGGAATTGCTTTAAGGTGTTTAAATTATTTTGTCACTTGTTTGTTGCCCTGGGCTCCACTGGGAGGAAGGAGGCAATATAAATGGAATAATATATCAGTTTATTGTGCCCCTTTCCCCATGTTGATTCTACACACATTTGTTGTCTGAATAGCATTTGCATAAACAGTGCTCCTATTTCTTCACCACTGTTCCACCCCCTTATTTCCTCTATAGTGTCCAAGGCAGCATACATAAAGATACCTACATTTCACTCCCCACAATGAGCTTGTGGGGTAGGTAATTTGTGTAAGGCCACCCAGCAAGATTCATGGCTGCGGGAGAATTTGAATTGAGATCTCTTCACTCTACTTCCAACCCTCTGTTTACTCCCATACCAGACTGGATCTCTGTTTATCCATTTGACAACAGGGATAGCAAACTTCATCCTTTAGCCTTATTCCCCCCCCCTCCCCTTCTCAAATGAATATGACAGAAATGCACAGTGATGCTTATTTATGAATAAATGTCTCATCATGGAGATATTACCCAAGGCATATTGATAGTGCTTATTTCTTGGGTGGGGGCGTTGAACATGCTCATGCAACACATTAGTCTCTGCAGTCCATATGTGCCATGCCTCTGGATGTGGTGCCTTCTACCTGCTCCTACAGCTGGCGGGAATGACAGCAAGATCAACATGGGCTGTGCATTCTGCACCCGCCCTTGAGTTTCCCTATGGGAAAAGGTATCTGCTTTTCTCCCGTACGCTGCCTGTGTTTAGGGCGGTCTGCTGCTGCACTGCAGAAACAGAGGCACAGGCAGCTGGAGATGGATAATAATCTAATGTTCTGAAGAAGTGGTGTCGAAGGGGTAAAGACAACACAGATACGGGTCCCAATGCAGCTTTAGTTGTGGCCAAGTAGCCACACGTAACAACTGAACGGGGATGTGCATTGTGAGGCTCATCAAATGACTCATCTAGCCAAGTGAGTGTAGCCCAGATGAGCAATATGATACTAATGAGAATGCAACTAGAAGTGCATCTGCATTGGCTACCTGCATAGAAGACTGCTTTTATGTGCAGGTCTCAGGCAACTGTCACATCATTCTATTCACAGGGCTGCTGTACACTGTAGTATGCAGTAGTTGAAATGGAGGCCTTTGCCCATCTTCTGAGCAGTCAGCTTTCATTTTGGAGCATGCCATGCTGCTTTGATTCCTGGGTATAATCCAACAACTTGTAGGCAGTGCAAGACAGGTGTGCACAGCAGGCATCTCAAGTTGGCACCAACCCAAAGCCAACTACTAGTAAGGGCAAACCCTGAGCATCTCTGCCTTTAATTCTCGGTGGCAATATTTTGCTGGGCATCAGACTTTGGTGCTTTTTAGAAGGAAAGCGTCTGAAGGTCAACAAAACAAAAAGACATGTTGAGTCCTGAGAGAAGCTACCTGTTGGGTTGCTTGGTGCAACACATTTTTTAAAAAAACATGGTGCTGGAACTAAGGCTTATATAAAATATTTAGCACATCCCATCAACTGTTAATAACATATTTTTATGTCTCCCAGGGTACATAAATCTATGTATTTGTGTTGTTTACTTTGTAGTATCCCTGCATCTTCTTCAATTGAAATCACCCCCAAGAGTGTGAGATTCAAAGTTAGAAGGCTTCCTGTTGCTACTTACAGTTGTTTTTTCCAAGCAGTGCAGTAGGTGGTGATGCTGACTTTCAATTATAGAAGTGGTTTTGCTGATGTTGTGTTCATCTTTCATAGATCCCTAAACAGAGAGAAAAGGCATTTGCAATGAGACCGCTGGCACAGAGGAAAAGGCAATCAGGTCTGCATCTGAAAATGCAGAATGGAAAAGATGAGCGAGGAAAAAGATGTGAAAAGCGCCCCCACCTTGTTAAATTGTAGTGTGAGAAGAGGCCCTAATCCTTCCACCCAGTTCTGGCCCAAGCCATGTTGCTGAACCAAAAATTGAGAAGAGCAGTACCAAGAGGACTGTAAGCCAGAGAAAGTGAGAGAAAAAGAGAAAGTTGGTGATGGTGGCGGGGGTCTTGAAGTGATTGATGCTTAACAAATTTATTTGTGATGAAATGTGGCCAACACATTTTGGCAGGGGCAGGGCTTAGTGGTGTAGCATCTGCCTTGCATGCAGAAGGTCTCTACCTGCATCTCCAGGTAGGGTTGGGACAGATTCCCTGCCTCAAACCCTGGAGAGCTGCTGCCAGTCAGCATGGACACTGCTGAGCTAGATAGCCCAATCGCCTGCCTCAGTATAAGGCAGCTTCCTATGTTCCTGTATCACCTTCTTGAGGGCAAGAATCAGTATTAATTTGCACACCCACCTCTTTACAAGGGACCAGACATGAAGTTTTGGAATCTGCAAACAGGTAACACTACTATTCTAACAAGGTCCAAACTGTGTGGCCTCCTATGAATCCGAGGCATAGGAACCTGTAACCTAATTCTTGGATTTTTGTGTGAGCTCCCTTGTCAGTTAATGCCCTATTCCTAGCTTTTCTTTGCCAGGTTGTTAGCTGTGCCAAGGGAATTCTGACCTTCTCATGCCCCCTCCAGCCATGTGGCATTGAGTGGTTGAGCAGGCCAGTCATCAAGCAAGGCTCTGTCCTGCCCCTGTTCTCCAGCCATGAGGCATTGGTGGGCAGGTATGAGGAAACACCCCTTCATCTTATAGAAGGTGCCTCAAAATGCTCATCACTCCCAAATAACTCAACCCCATGCTGTGTCCGCCAAATGGAAATGTGGGGAACCTACCAAAACTAAGCCAGAGTGAAGTAGGCAAGAAGCTTGCCGTGTCCAAGGCCAACCAGGACCTCAAGGAAGAAAATTCTACATGGCCATAATTAAATGGTAACCAGAACATTTCCTACACTGGCCCCGAAAGGTGGGCAGGTGCATGCAGCCCAAGAATCAGCGAAAGAACTGAATGGAGGTAGCAACTAGGAGCCAAATGCAGCTCCCCCCTTGCTAAAATGTTTTGCAGCTGACCTCCACGGTTCACTTTCAGGTCAGGGGACTGGGGGGCAAAAAGTGCTGTCCCTCTCACCGCCTAAGCTGGGGGAGGGAAGAGAGTGTGATTTTTACAGTGAGTTGGTACAATAAACGGAAGAATGTGGTACACCAAAATGCATTGTATATATTGCACATGTAAAAAAATCATTTGAGCATCATTTCAAGGCATTGTCTCTCCTTTTTTGGCTTCCAAGACATGTCAAAAGGTGTGCTCCATAATCACCTACCATGTTACAGAGGAGAATGAACCATGTGACCCCCAACAATATCATTATCCAAAGCTACTACATGGGTTAGTGGTGACCTCAGGGCATAATAAGCAGAGGGTCCCCCAAAGTACTGGTTTATTACACTTTGAAATAATGCATACTCACTTCTTAAGTGGGCTCCCCTATAAAGCCATTAAGTCCAGAGCCTAAAATTCCCTAAGTACATCACTGATTTGGCTTTGCATATGCCATTAGGCTAGCTCTCTGCCTTCTTATTTACAACATGTAAATTAAACACAAACTATTTAATCTATGTTGAATGGTATGCAGTGGGGTGGGAAAGAAAATGAGAAGTGGTTGATTCACGCAAAGAGAATGGAAAAACCTCCACATCAACTATTCTTTTCTACACAGAAGCGTTGTAATTTACGGGAAGCAGAGGTTACTTGCAGAAAAAGTAACTGGTCCTCATTTGCCACACAGCTCTGCCAACAAGCCAGCGTTCCTGTGTCGCTTGTTAATGACTAATCTGAGATGTACACACAAGGTGTGTGGGATCCCCAGCACTGCATGGATGACAAGCAACTTCATCTGCTTGAAATAACTGGAATCTCAGCCCACGCTAAAGGTGAAGAGCTGCAGTTGAGTAGTTATATAGCTTATTAATAATCAGCACTTATGCAGAGCCAATATTTCTTCCCAAGACGTTTCACACCTGCATCGCCGTGAGAGAGCAGCATTCATCTTTTCCAAAAGGAAACAGAAGCCTTTTCGAGGTAATTACGGCTGTTGTTCCATCATTGCAGAGGACTGAAATGTATTCTTTCCCCAGCTAGTGGACCCTTTGACATTGTCCCAGCACTCAGTGGCAATGTCATATCATTGGCATTCTGTTACAGTTCAGACTGCTGTGTCCAAACAGCCACTCTAAAGCTACTCTAAATGATTTTTTAAGCTGCTTTCTTTTTGCTTGTTAGTTTCTTGGGTGTGCCTGTCTAGGACCCTGGAGATGCCTTTCTAAGACGGGCAGGTCCACAGGTAGAACACATGCCTTTCAGCTGTTGCTGCTCTGCAGCACCTATCTGTCATGGGGCTGTCAGGTAAGGAACGTCCAGAGTGAGGAATTAACTCTTTATTGTCAAACGTACACTTGCAAGGCGTGCCCATCAGTCCTATGTCTCTCAGCTGCTCCTACGTGTGTACCCAATGAGGCAGTTGCAGCAACAGAGAGGGGTCCCACCCCAACCTCAGCTCTCCCACCTGAGTTTTCTGCAAGCAGGCAAAGACTACGCCTGTGTGTAACCTGCTTCCGCTCCTCCCGCTTCAATCCTCTTTTGGTCCTGGGGAAAAGTGGAGCAGGAGAGGTAGGGCAGGAGTAGGAGGAGTGGCAGCCCTTGACTTTACACCAGCTTGACCTATCTCTAACTCCTCCTGCACCTGTTCTCTCTCCAATCCTGCAGCTTCTCCTGCCTCTGTCTCTCATCTCCTGGCTCCCCCAGATCACTGATCTCTTCCTCCAAGTCAGTCTCCAACCTCTCTTCTCCCAGTGCCCACTCCTCAGTGTCCAGACAGTCCTTGCCACCTGTCTTCCCTGATCATTTTATTTCTAGGGGGACTAGAAACTGACATTTTTAAAAAAATGAAAGCCTGGGGTCATTAAAGGCTTTTGTGGCTTCTATGGTGCTTGTGCATTGCATTGGTGACCCTTGTTTGACAAGAAAAGCATGCAGTTCATCACTGAGCCATGGTCCGTCCTGAAAAGTGCTCCACTGCTTGAGTCATGTCAGTTTCCTTGCAGGTTGCCTCCCTTCTTTTTCCATGTCTGCATTACCCCCCTCCACACCCCAAAAGAGCCCCTTGAGTGGCATAGCTATGCTGTTTGGGAGCTTCTTAAAATACCTAGGAACAAAGCATTGGATCAGGTTTTGAAATGTGTAACTATGGCAAATGAATATTTTGTTATCTTCACGCATTGTAACTGAAACTTGAAAAATACAGACATTTTCACCCGCTTGTTTAAGTGCAGTAAAGCAGATCAGCTGGCCTACCCTGGGCGACCTATTTTCCCAGCCTCATCAAACTGTTCTCCTAATAAGGACATCACCTATTTTAAAAAGTATCTGTTATGTCAGGCTCTGCCTGATAGGCTTTTGTGTATATTACAAAGCCCCAGATTTTGTGAATGGGCTGTGTACATCACTTACTTTTTGATTCAAGGACAAGGTTTGCCCAGAATTGGAGAGGAAGGAGCTAACTAGATGCAGGCTGTG